GGGGGGGGGTTGGGAGCGGGCACGTCCACGCAGCGAGGCAGGTGCTCCTGTGTCCCCTCTGGGGACCGCTGCCGTGGGCCAGGCTGCACGGAGCCCTCCCTGATGGCCCGCTAGCACGTGGTGCCGCCTCTCCACTGTCCCACCCGGCCATCGTGCTCCCTCGAGGCGTCCCCAGCGGGGGCAGCACAGTCAGCGGCTGGGACCCCGGGGGCGGTGGGGGCGCGACCCTGGGTGGCAGAGCGGGTCTCGGCACCAGGGGGCACAGGGCAGCGACGGTCTGTGTTTCAGACGTCGTCATCTCCACGGCCTGCCACCCGACGGAGAACATCATCGCCTCGGCCGCGCTGGAGAACGACAAGACCATTAAGCTCTGGAAGAGTGACTGCTAGGCGCCGCGGGGGCTGGCGGGAAGGCGGCCGGTCGGCGAGCAGCGCGGTGTCTGGAGGGGGCCCCTCCGTCCGTGCCTGGGGGGTCGGGAGGGGCCTGGATGGAGCCACCGCTGAGGACGATGTGGCGGAGGGGTTGTCTACCACCAGAAGGTTCTACAGGTTGCTGGTGACATTTCTTGCCGATCCCTCTCACGCTGTCTGGGGAAGTTTCTGGTCTGTATTGTGTTCAAACAGAGTCAACACAAATTTTTAATTTTTTATTACAGAAGGGTGAAGTTCAATTTATCATGAGTTGTGTTTTTTTCCAGTAAATGTTCTGTACCTCCTCTGGTATCTTATTACCCAGTGCAAGTGCGGCGAGCAGCCGCCCCCGCGGCCCCCCTTGTCTGTTCAGTAGATGCTCTAGCCACTCGGTCCGCGGTCACCGGTTCCTGCTGTCGTCGTGCCCAGTGTGTGCGGTCTTTCCGGAAAACACAGAACACTGTAAGATTCTTTCCGTGTAAAACCCTTTGTATGTGGGAGTTCGTGGTTCCCGTGCGGACAGCGTGGCGTTGTTCTGGTACCTCCCTGTGTCCCCCTGCGTGCCCCCCGCGCGCCCCCACGAGCTGTAATAAAAGGTAGGAGTCTGCACAGCGGTGGCGACGGAGTTCTCACGCGAAGCCTGTCTGCGCTTGGCCTTTTCGCGGAAAGTCTCCCCGATGGCAGGAAGTGGAGGGTTCCCGCGCCCTCCCCTCCCAGGAAGCCCGGCGCCACGGAGGAGGGCTCCCCTCCCCGTGTGGGCCGGGGATGTGTGAGGGGGTCCGGGGGCAAACCCAGGAATTCCGTTTAGCTGGAGGGGAGCTGGTGTCCCTGAAGTGTCCCGTCGAACGTCGCAGGCGGCCGTGTGCGCGAAGGCTGGGCCGTAGGAGGCCCCGAGGCCGTGGGTCCAGGCTCAGCTCAGGCTGGGCTTCGTCTCCCCACTGCCGACCTCGGGACCGAGGGCTTCGTGGGGTTCCCGGGGCTGGCACAGCAGGGGGAGCCGGGTGCCACCCACCCCCGCGGCCCGAGTGCGGGGGCGGGAGCCTCCGGTGGCGCGGCTCCCTGAAGGGGTGTGGGGAGGAGAGCGGGGTGAGGAAGCGGTGCTGGGATTGCCAGGCTCGGGGACCCCTGTGTGCAGCGGGCCCCCCACCCCCACCCCGCCCTGCCTTTCCTGGGGCCCCGGGTCCTGGGCTGGGGAAACGGGGCTGCTCTCGACAGGCTTCCCGGCCCCACCCCAGTGGCCGTGGTTGCTCAGACGGGGGTGGCAATTCTAGCAAAGGGCATCTGGAAAC